ATTCCCTGAAGAAATGCCACTTTGTTCTCTACAGTAGAAATCTTTCAGAGGCTAGTATACATTGATCTTAGCTCCCTTGACTTAGCATATAGTAGGCATTCAGAAAATGAGTTTATCAGTTGATTTTTGAGCTGACTGTTCTGTTCAGTCAGTTGGAGATCTCATTTTCCCTTTCCACTGCTACTGCTGCTCTTTTTCATTCTTCCTGATTTGGGTAGTGTCTTGGTTTCTGTACTCTCCCACTACCTATTGCTCCCTATTGCCTTCTCTACTTCTGCACCGCAGGACTCTCTTCACTTGACTTCTTTCACAGACAGAACTCCCTGTGCCCCCGAATTTCCCTTAAAACAAAGCTGAACCATATAAGGCCTCCAAAGCTTCTAGTCTTACAGAAGCAGCCATCCTGAGCAAGAAACATAGGCAGAGGCTGTGACTAGTAGATCAAGGCGGATTTTTCTTAGTGTTAGGGATCTCAAGACCTGGGTCTTGGTCCTACTTGAATCCTAATTTCTTGACTGACCTTGAGTAATTTACTTACGACAGCTGCTTACTCTAATAAAATATACACATGTGCATATATACATATTATCTAAATTTTGTCCTATTTTAAAAAAATTGCTTTTTTCCATATAAATAAATGATCTATTATTAAAATACACATTTAAATCTACGGAGTGTATCTGCTTAAAGACATACTACTTGTGTTTAAGAGCCATGACTATTTGAAAACAGGAAAACCAAATTTTAGTAAAATTTCCATATATTGGGACCACTGATTCTGTGTGAGATAATTAGGAAAGAAGGCTTATTGTTTATCTTTGTAGTGTTTATGGGGGAGGTATTTACAAAATTACTGTTGCTAATGAGAATATACAGTAAAGTTTAAAACATTTTGGAGAACTGATTTTGATTCTTAAAATGTGTCTTCACCACATACGGTCTGGTTACCTATAAATACATTAATTTGGCCCTTGAAAACATTCACATCCTATTCTTTGTTAGGTTTATTTTTCCAGTCCTTGTTAACTCTCTCAGTGCTGGATAATAAACCTGCATTTCTTTTACAACATTTGTTCAGTTTTGGCATCAGTGTCTTTCCCCCAGCACTCCCATAGTCCAAATTAGTAACATTTTACTGTATGAAAAATAGTTGCTGTTAACTAAAAATTCAATAGGCAAGTTAGACATGGCTTTTCAAGTAGCATTTTCAATGGCTTCAGATTCCGTCATACACAAGTGTTTAAGCCCCAGTTATTTCCGTGCTCAACCATAAGTGCTTCTTCTCCCCACTTTAGTCTGCTATGTCAAAAAATTGCATCAAGCTTTTGTGTGAAGATCCTGTTTTCGCAGAATATATTAAATGTATCCTAATGGATGAAAGAACTTTTTTAAACAACAACATTGTCTACACGTTCATGACACATTTCCTTCTAAAGGTATGTAGTACTCTGGAAACTCAGTGTGTCATTTCCAATTAGTTAAGCTTGTGTTTTCATTATGCTGGTCTTTTGGAGATTTTTTTAAATCTTCTCTTTCAGGTTCAAAGTCAAGTGTTTTCTGAAGCAAACTGTGCCAATTTGATCAGCACTCTTATTACAAACTTGATAAGTCAGTATCAGAACCTACAGTCTGATTTCTCCAACCGAGTTGAAATTTCCAAAGCAAGTGCTTCTTTAAATGGGGTAAGAACTATGCAGAGGAGGCGGCGGCACACACTTCTAAACTGCCCTTCAGTTAACTATGTGGCCTTCGTATTTTGCTCTCATAACTTTAACTTACTGATTCGAACTCTAAGCCACGTACGACAAAAAACAAATTTAAATTACGCGTTCACGATGCCTTGTATGTACACAGCACACTCCATCACCTTGGAAGCTACAAGCTGGTATCATTAAATGCTAAGGGTAATAAAGGGAACGTCTTAGTGGACTTCTCTCTACTTGAGTATATTTTTGGAAACATTACTTGTGATGTTTCTGTTACTGCCTATGGCTCCGAAGTAACTGAAACAATGATCTACTGATTTAAAAAGGCAGTTAAATCTAGAGCATTAGTTGCCTTGTGCAGACTCCCATGACAGCCATGTCCTAGAATAATGGAACACCCTGGAAATAGGCTAGAATGTTGAGCAGCAGCCTCCCGAATCACAATAGCATAAAAGTCAGAACAGATGACAGAGCTCAGTAAGGAAGACCTTACTATTTGTGACATCAGGATTTAACTTGAGAAACTATGATTTCAAGGTTTTTGAAATTCTTGTATTTCCTTTTCCATTTTCAGAAAACACGATTTGTCTTTGGTCTGACTTACTTGTTTGTGGGCATAAAATAATGCTATTAGTGACTTTAAGAACTAATGAGGCCGGGCAGTGGCTCATGCCTGCAATCCCAGCATTTTGGGAGGCTGAGGCCAGTAGATAAGGAGGTCAGAAGATTGAGACCATCCTGGCCAACATGGTGAAACCCCGTCTTTACTAAAATACAAAAAATTAAGCCAGGTGTGGTGGCAGGCGCCTGTAGTCCCAGCTACTCAGGAGGCTGAGGGAGGGGAATCGCTTGAACCCGGAGGTGGAGGTTGCAGCGAGCTATTACACCACTGCACTCCAGCCTTGCCATAGAACAAGAACACTACCTCAAAACAACAACAAAAAACTAATGAAATGCTGTAGTATCACTGCACTCCAGCCTTGCCATAGAACAAGAACACTACCTCAAAACAACAACAAAAAACTAATGAAATGCTGTAGTATCCTAACACTGGCTTTCTGGTTTTATCATTCTTCTAAGAATCCCAGAGAAACCAGAGTATTCTTAGGAAAGAATGGATTCCTGGGAAAATAAACATCTGCAATTAACTATAAACAACTGCATCAAAGTATTGGCTTTAGAATTTGAAATGTTCCTATCTGGGTTTTTGTAGGACCTGAGGGCACTTGCTTTGCTCCTGTCAGTACACACTCCCAAACAGTTAAACCCAGCTCTGATTCCAACTCTGCAAGAGCTTTTAAGCAAATGCAGGACTTGTCTACAACAGAGAAACTCACTCCAAGAGCAAGAAGCCAAAGAAAGAAAAACTAAAGGTTAGCTTTATGGACTACTATCATTATTACTTTCAGGGTGGGAGGAGGGAGTAATACACTTGGTGTAGCTGGTTTCATAGTTGTATGTTCAGCTGAACCTCCTAAATATAAATGCTAGAAACAAAATTAACTTCCCACATCCCCCATGTGATCTTAATGACTTTCAGAGAAGTTTCCATTTTGGCGTATGTTTTCACAGATGATGAAGGAGCAACTCCCGTTAAAAGAAGGCGTGTTAGCAGTGATGAGGAGCACACTGTAGACAGCTGCATCAGTGACATAAAAACAGAAACCAGGGAGGTCCTGACCCCAACGAGCACTTCTGACAATGAGACCAGAGACTCCTCAATTATTGATCCAGGAACTGAGCAAGATCTTCCTTCCCCCGAAAATAGTTCTGTTAAAGAATATCGAATGGAAGTTCCATCTTCGTTTTCAGAAGACATGTCAAATATCAGGTCACAGCACACAGAAGAACAGTCCAGCAATGGTAGATATGACGATTGTAAAGAATTTAAAGACCTCCACTGTTCCAAGGATTCTACCCTAGCTGAGGAAGAATCTGAGTTCCCTTCTACTTCTATCTCTGCAGTTCTGTCTGACTTAGCTGACTTGAGAAGCTGTGATGGCCAACCTTTGCCCTCCCAGGACCCCGAGGTTGCTTTGTCTCTCAGTTGTGGCCATTCCAGAGGACTCTTTAGTCATATGCAGCAACATGACATTTTAGATACCCTGTGTAGGACCATTGAATCTACAATCCATGTGGTCACAAGGATATCTGGCAAAGGAAACCAAGCTGCTTCTTGACATTAGGTGTAGCATGTCTACTTTTAAGTCCCTCACCCCCATGCTGTTTGTATAAGTTTTGCTTATTTGTTTTTGTGCTTCAGTTTGTCTAGTGCTCTCTGCTTGAATGGCAAGATAGATTTATAGGCTTAATTCTTGGTCAGGCAGAACTCCAGATGAAAAAAACTTGCATCTTCAGTATACTTCCTAAAGGGCAATCAGATAATGGATATGTTTTATGTAATTAAGAGTTCACTGTAGTGGCTTTCATTTAATATGGCTGTCTGGGAAGAACAGGGTTCCCTAGCCCTGTACAATGTAATTTAAACTTACAGCATTTTTACTGTGTATAATATGGTGTCCTCTGTGCCAGTTTTGTACCTTATAGAGGCAGATTGCCTCCGATCGCTGTGGTTCTTATTATCAAAATTAAGTTTACTTGTATACGGAACAACCACAAGAAATTTGATTCTGTAAAGAATCCTCTTTAGCTGTGGCCTGGCAGTATATAAATGGTGCTTTATTTAACAGAATACCTGTGGAGGAAATAAAGCACACTTGATGTAAAAATAATTGTTTTATTTTTATTGACATGACTGATTGCTATTCTGTGCACTTAATTAAACTGATTGTGATGACTTTTCATTTGTTTACATACGTTGCTTCAGTCTTCTCAGGTGAAAGTAGTGAAAAACCGTGAACGAGGGGAAACACTTACCCATTATATGCTGTTTCACTGGAAGTGTTACCAGCAGTCTACAAAATTAGTGTCCCCACAGACTTCTCAATCCTCTCCACCCCAAAGTGCAAAACCACAGCAGGAAGAAGTGGAGCAAAACACAGCCAATTTGCCCATCAATATGCTTTTGAATGCAATATACCACTGTTATACTACCTTAAGATATACACACCTTAAAAACCCTAAGTAAAATAAAGGAACAGTGTCAACCTGCCATTTATTTTTTGTCATCTTGAACTAAAAGTACAGCTGTAAGCAAGCTTGCTGTTCAGTTTGGGAAACCAACTCTCTACACTCGGGACTTACTTAGCTATTTCTAGAGTATCTATGGAAGGTCAGGTTAATGCCTAATTTCAGGTTGTTTGCTACTTTTAACTCAGTGCAGTGTCTAGTCAATGCTTTAAATTGTGTATATGTTCACAGATTTCATCCAATATAAAATAGATGGTCGTTTTTAAAAAAAAAAAAGTATATAGCGAAGAGGTCAATGTGACACTTCTGCGTACAAAAAGTAATGCCTTATAAAATTTTAATTCAACCATTTAGGGGGGTCAGCTGCAGTAAACCTTTTATTTCTTCAAAATGCTGCTTCTGCCAACAGAATTTCATGTTCTCTTCTTTACAGACAGGAACTCCTTTACAGTCCAATTGTAATTCCGTTTGCCCTAGAGTAGGCACAAAATTCAGTGCAACCGTGGCATAGTGTTCTAAGAAAAAAAATAGGAACCTTATTACTGCATTATGAAAAGGAAAATGTATCCATATGAAAAACCCAGCCTTAAATGTTCTGGGGCCTTTAACATAAAGGGCACTAATTCGTAACATACCTTCTGGCCAGTTCTTACATCTCCATTTCATGACGATCTTCTTATTTGTTAACTGAAAAGAAAGGGGAAACTCCACTGAAAATCTTTTAAAACTCCCCACAATACCACACAGAAAAACAAATCCTTTCACTGAAACTCCTAAATACTAGAAGAATCAATGAACAATATACGGTCCCTCTTCCAGTTTATACATCAGCACCACTGATACTGATAATTGTCTTTAGTGTCAAAATGTCTCAAAACAGCAGTGACATCAAGAACAGTAGGAATATATAATATTATTTTAAGTACAGTAATAGTAACCAGAACAGAGGGCTGCTATTAAGGGTGAGGCAACAGAGACCCTAGTGATTTTGGTGCTAAAAACAGCACGTATAAAAAGTAATATTGAGTTAATCCCATCTTTCTTCTTTAACCTTGAGTCTACTTACCAATTCTAGATATTCACCAGTGATGTTCCCATCAAACATCTGGAATTTCCCTCCCTTTTCAGCTTCTAATACAGCAGTAGATTTAGAAAACTTTTGCACCAACTAACCAAATAAAACAGATGTTATTCCAGCACACACTATCACATATTTTAATGTAATTATGAGATACAAAATATAACAATTAACTATGGTTTAAAAATCCTAAACATGTAGCTTTTACTTATGGAAAATAAAATACAAACTTTCTCTTCCTAGAAGAGAAAACTCAATGTAATATGGACATAGTCCCAAAGAATGCCCATCTCCCCTCCAATTATTCAGAAACTATGCTCAGACTTCCTGTCACCACCATCCCACATCCCTTCAATCAAAAACACAAGGAAAACCAAAAACCAGCTCCTGTTCTTTGTGATGTATTTTCTCCCAATGTCAGCATTTAACATGCTAGCGTAGGGAGTTACTCACATCCTTCACAGTGAAGATGCTATACAGCTGCTCTACAGTTGTGTCAAACAGTTCCATCATGTGAAGAGCCACAGTGGGAATCCTTACACCCAGTGCCACTGGAGATGAGGCCTGAACCTGGAGAAGGGAAGAAGTTCCAGGGAATGTTTAGCGTAACAAGGGATAAAGCTGCTTGGATGGAAATAAGTCTTCTCAAGAAAACAGCAAATGTCCCAAATTCCATACTGCCTATTCCAGACACACACAAAAGCAGCATGAAAAGCCTTTTTAGCACCACCAGTCTTGGTCTTTACTTTGGAACCAGAGCTCACTGTTCCTACAGCTCTTCAGCTCCGTTCCCAGGTTATGACTGAATACCCCTAATCCTAGCTGGACTTCCAGATACAGCCGTGAGCAGATGAAAGACAACTGCACCTAAAGCTAAAGGGTGTCAATTACACATAAAACACCCATTCCAAGAACCGATCTAAAAATCTCCCAAAAGTCAGCAAAGAAGGTTCTTTCATTGTGCTATGTGTATCTTGAAAGTCATCTGGTTTTGTAATCTGTGGCCTACCAAAGAACACTGCCTTTAGGAGTCTTGAGTCAAATATCCCATAGAAAGGTGTGTCTGTAACAATCCATCAAGAATCAAAGTCTCATTTTATCATCTGCACAACAAAATGGGAGATCTTAGAGGACTCACGGGAGACCCAAAGGTGGAAAAGGCCCTCACTGTCCTCATTTCTCCAACAACACAAGGTTATTCAGGGCCCTAACTCAAATACTTCCTTTACCCCTTCCCCACATTTTGGCCAACAGAGCTCATACCTGCAGGGTATTCTCACTCGGTTTTCTTTTGACAGTCAGTTCCTGGGTTGCCATAGCTTTCGCTGGTAAAATCATTCCCGTTGTAAATTCTATAAAGAAACAAGGGAAGTGGTTTTAATAAAGACCTTTCTCCTTTTAAGCACAAAGAGTAAGGTAGAAAACCCAAAACAGCGTGTAAGAAAATAAAACATATTTATAAAAATAATTCCTATAACATTTTGAGAATTTCAAGACCATTCCATGTTTTTACATATAAAACTAATGATTAACAACGTGAGTTCCACAGCAACAAAAGCCTTTTCTTTTTTCAAACGCCTCACTTTTATCAAGTTTTTGCTAAAACTGCAAAATTTTCCAAAGTTCTTTTGCATACATCTAAGTTTTATGAGATTAACTACTAATAGCTTTGGGGCTCTAACCCACTGTGAAAACAGACAATTTCTCATGTGAGGGTGGCCACCGCCTCACAAAGCCTGTCTTCACAGTAGTCAAGCCTGTGAGCCAGCTACACGTGCACTCCCATGGGAAAAGTGACAACCCCAAACCCATCCATGCCAACACCCAGATACTCAGGTAGCAGGGTCCAAGAATGAGGTACAGAGATACAGGCACTGCTGGCCATCTTGCCTGGCTCACTTCTCTAATTTAGGGAAGAAGACAATAACCACATTTCCATGCAATGTTGATATTATCTAGGTATTTCTCAACTACACCTGTAATACCTGCAGTCACTTTCATCCATTCATTCATTCATCCAACAAAGATGTATTAAGCACCTACTATGTGCCAGGCATTGTGCTAGATGCTGGAGATACAGCAGTGAACAAGACAGACACCTTCCATGCCCTCATGGAGCTTATAGTCTAGCAAGGAAGACAGACATTAAACAAGTAATTACACAAACAACTGATTTTCATTCCAGAAAACTACAATTAACAGTTCTGTAGGCAAAATGGTTCATGCTGTGTACAATAGTGATGATCACTAATTATGGTCTTAACCATGACTAGCTCTCAACTTCCAGACTACAATTTATTCTGAAGTATAAACTTGCTTCTGGAGCCTCTGACCACAGTGCAGAGTATAACGGGTAAATAGAAAAGGGACCCTCTGGTTCACAAGGGATGCCTTCTTTACCCGTCTTAAGTGCCTTCAGGTAATCTCCAAGGGCCTGCCTGACCTTGGCGGTGCCTGCAGTTTTCATAAGATCCTTCAGTATATCCCCATCTCCTTTCTTTTTACTCACGTTCACCTACAAATCAGAAAAATACAAACCAAAGAAAGATCTGGTTTGATGTATTCTTACAACATTGGGCTGTATGGATGAGAGAACTATGGCAGTGGAGGAAGGAAAGAAGTGGATGTAAGAGATGTGCAGGGCAGGATTTTAAGGGTTTTTTTGTTTTTGTTTTTTTTTTTTTTGAGATGGAGTCTTGCTCTGTCACCCAGGCTGGAGTGCAGTGGCCGGATCTCAGCTCACTACAAGCTCCGCCTCCCAGGTTTACGCCATTCTCCTGCCTCAGCCTCCCCAGTAGCTGGGACTACAGGCGCCCGCCACCTCGCCCGGCTAGTTTTTTGTATTTTTAGTAGAGACGGGGTTTCACCGTGTTAGCCAGGATGGTCTCGATCTCCTGACCTCGTGATCCGCCCGTCTCGGCCTCCCAAAGTGCTGGGATTACAGGCTTGAGCCACCGCGCCCGGCCGATTTTAAGGGTTTTTAATCCAGGGTCCATGACAGGGTTGGGGGCCAATCTTGCATAGACTTCATAGAATGTAAACCCCTTAATTTGCATACAAAATTGTGCATGTGTATGTACATAAATTCTATTGCTGATGTGGTCCGTGGCTTTCATGGCGTCTAGAAATGCACTGTCTGGTATGGTAGCCACTAGTCACATGTGGCTACTGAGAACCTGAAATGTGGCTGGCCTGAATCAAGAAGTGCTGTGTGAAATAATATGTGCCAGACTCCAAAGACTTAGTACCAAAAAAGAATGTAAAATACCTATTTTTTTATATTAATTACATGCTAAAATCTTTTTTATATACTGGGTTAAATAAAATATATTAAAATTCATTTCACCTGTTTATCTTTTTTTTTTAGAGCTTGTATCTCGTTATGTTGCCAAGGCTAGACCCAAACTCCTGGGCTCAAACGATCCTTCCCTCGACCTCCCAAGCAGCTGGGATTACAGGCATCTGCCACTACACCTGGGCTCTAATTTTTTTTTTTAAGAGACAGGGTCTCCCTGTTGCCTAGACTGGAGTTCAGTAGCATGACCATGGCTCATTGCAGCCTCGAACTCCTGGGTTCAAGTGAGCCTCGTACCTTGGCCTCCCAAAGTGCTGGGATCACAAGTGTGAGTCACCATGCCCAGCCATAGCTTTAACTTTTTAAGTACAGCTACTAGTAAAACTTAAATTGCACATGTGGCTTGCATTATATTTATATGGAACAGTGCTGGTATAGAACCCAAAGCCACTGTAATTAGGGAAATCAAGTTCCCATATAACCCAGCCTTGGACTATATACTTTTTTTGACAAAGAACAAAATTGGGAAAGGGAGAAGAGTAGAAGACAGGCAGAGGGAAGGAAGAAGAGAGGGGAGGAGGGGGAGACCGAGGGATAAGGAAGCAACAGAGGGCTTTGGGGATGTCTAGTATTTCCAGAAGAAAAAGGTGTTGATTTAAAAAAATTTAGCGTCTCGATGCTTCAGCTGAGGTGGGCCTGATCTTGGGCCCCAGTTTGAATCTATAGAGTTTGTTCTGTAATGCCACTGAGGGATTAAATCTTAAAAACCAGTTAACCATTCTGTTGAAAAACTTCTCAGCTGATGGATCTGAATATAACAAAGTGGAATCTCAAGCCCTGAGCGGAGGAACCACATAACTGAAGACAGGTCTGGGACAGCCCTGGCCTGTGGCACTGTATAACCTTCGGGCCAGAAGACATGCTACTGGGCAGGAGTCAGCCTATCATGGAAAGCCCTCACGTTAAATACATTCACAAATCAAAAAAGATCCTCTGTCAGACTATCTTGGTGTGAAAAATATAGCAGCTGTAAAAATGGTCTCACCCCCAAAACCCAGCTTTCAGCCAGAAGAGGGCACTAACTGGAAGCCAAGAGTGGGAATTACACACGACTCTGCCTCCCAGGAGAGCCACAAAAGCAACGCCTACTAACTGGGTAGTTCACAAAAAGCCGTGAGGCGTAACCAAGGGATAGCTCGCAGCTAAAAGCTGAGACTTCTCACCGTTAAAGGGAAACAGCAAAGGTGCAGGAGAGAAAGTCACGTTCATCAAGCCATGCAAGCTGCCTGAGCAGTTCACAGTGCACACACTGTCACATGTAACCTGACAACACCCCTGGAAGAGAAATTAACCCCTTTTCACAGATGAGGAGGCTAAGAAGGGTGCAGTCAGCTGCCCAGGCCCCTTGCCTGGTCCTTGGGGGAGCTCAGGGCTTCCTGGGGCTTACTCTCTTTCCTGTACCACTCCAGCTCCACACAACATGCTGCTCCCACAGTATGGCAATCCTTCTCAGCAAACAGGCCCTCCACAAGGCAACGGAACTACCACACAGGAATCACAGTCTGATCAACACTATTTGAAATGCCCAATGTCTGTAGCAGAAGCTTGACTGAAAAAAGAACAAAAGAAATAGAAACTTGCTGACATACCTCAGTGTCATCTACTTCATTTTCCTCAGAAAGATTGGGTATTTCAATCAATCCCTTGTGCTTCACTCCAGATTCTTTAACGATGCCTAAAATGAGCAAAATGGGTTCTTCAATTATAATAAAAAGTAACAACTGGGCCAGGCACTGTGGCACACTCCTATAATCTCAGCACTTTGAGAGGCTGAGGTGGGAGGATGGATTGAGCCCAGGAGTTTAAAAGACCATCCTGGGCAACACAGGGAGACACCGTCTCTACAAAATAAAATTATCTGGGCATGGTGCCGCACACCTGTGGTCTCAGTTACTTGGAAGGCTGAGGTGGGAGGATTGCTGGGTGGTCAAGGCTGCAGTGAGCCTTGTCTCGAAAAGAAAAAAAAAACAAAACTGCTTTTATGAAAAACTGTCCTGCCTCACTGAATAGCCCAGCGGCCCTCACAGAGTTCCACCACTCCAGGGCCCCCTGAGCAGCCACGGAAGAAAGGTCAGGCAGACCATGACCAAGGAGAGGGCATGAAAAGTCAGCGGCCTGCCGTCCTGAGGGGAGTGTGGGGCAACTGTACCCATATTTCTCTTTTTGTCCCAGGGTATTCTTTGCCTGGGCAAAGCAGGATAAAGGAGTACCCTGAAGGGGAGAAGCAGTCACAAAAGCGATGGAAGGACAGAAAGGGACAGTGTGTTCTGACCACGGAGCGGAGGGAAGCTCTGGCTTGGGGACATTGTGTAGGGATGCCAGGCAGGTGGACTTCTCGCAGGACTAGAGTGTTGCCTCCTCCCCAGTGGGTCCCAGCTGCCACCCTAGACTCACTGCTAGAGGAGAGCAGCTGGAGGCGTTACAACAAGCCCTCACAGCCTGTCCTCTGGCTGCTGCCTGGCAATGGCTGAGTCTCATCCTTGCAAAGAAGCCAAGGGAGATGGAAAAGACACAAGGCCCACAAGGTTCCTCGGGCCCTAGGGCCCGGTGCTGGGGGAGCAGGCAGGGAGCCAGACTGCTATGATCCAGCCAGCAGCAGACACCGGGGGGTTGCAAGAGAGGCAAACTCCCAGCCAGAGGGTCCTGTTCTGAGGCGGTGGGGAGGGGCTGAACACCCTCGTCTGCTAGAAAGGCAGCCAGCAGGACAGAGGCTCGAGGCCAACTCACTGGACTACTCTGGGACACAAACTCCAGATAGGAGCCGACTCCCGGACTGAGGCTCAAACCCTAACTCCTCCTCTTCCCTTCCCTGCATCTCCACAGCCTTGGCTCCCTCAACAAGGACTGAGTGCACACACGCTGTCTGTCCAGCCAGGATCGAGGCACCACTGAAGAACTGAACCCACAGACCCCAAAAGTGGACACACCCGAAATGCCCAGCAACTGATAAATGGAGAAACAGAATGCGGTATATGCACCCATGGAATATTCATCATCTATAAAAAAGAATAAAGTGCTGCTACCTGCCACAATACAGATGACCCTTGAACACATTATGAAGCAAAAGAAGGCAGACACCAAAAAACACATCCTGCATGATTCATCTATGTGAAATGTCCAGAGGCCAATCCAGAGACAATGGGGGAACGGATGCCAGGGGCTGGGGAAGCAGAGGGCAACAACAGTGACTGCTCATGGGTCCAGGGTTTTGTTTTGGGGTGGTTAAATGTTCCCAAATTGATTGTAGTGATGGCTGCACAACTCTGTGACTATACTGAAAACCAATGAATTATATACACTAAATGAGTGAATTATGTCTCAATAAAGCCGTTTAAAAAAAAAAATTCCCCGCACTAATGAATGACAGGAAGATGGAGCAGGACAGAAAGCAAACTATTTTTGTAAAGCAAGTTTCAGTGCCTTGGGGAAAAATAAAGTAGGGAAGAAAGATGGCACAAGGCAGGGGTCTCCAAGGATGCAGAGAGATGGCTTCACTCAGGACAAAGACCTGAAGGAGGCAGGCAGCTACCTGGAGGAAGAGTGCTCCAGGCAGCAACGCCCAGAGACTCCTGTTCACAAGTGCCTGGTAGAAGAGGGCCCAGCTGACAGCAATGAACTCTAAGCAGCTGCAAGTGCTCCGAGAAGGGAAACCCCCACCCTTCTTGGACCATGGAACTCAAGTGTGGCCAGAATGTCAAGAACTACTAATGCTGATTCAGGAGCCAGTCAGTGCCAGGCCCATAGCAGGAGCTGTAAAAACATTCACTGAATGATGAACACACTTTGTTCCCAGCCCCACTAGTACCCTGAGGCCCCCGTTACCTTTCCAGCCCAGTTTGATGTACCACTCATAGAAGAAAATCAGCTTTCCTTTGCGACTACTGCACGAAGCCTCCCCTTCCACCTGCTTCAACTCGCTGATCTCGCCGCGGCCAGTGTCATTCTCCACAACGATGCCCACCAGGAGCTCCTGGAACTTCCCTTTGGACCAGCTGGTGGCATCCCGCTCTGTCCTGCCAGGGACCAGTAAGTTGTGAATGGAAGCCCCAGCTAGGATCCACCTGCCTGGGTGCCAGCGTCACGTCCAAGCCCAGCCCAGATCAGCCCAAGTCCTCTCAAGCAGCCTCGAGACCTGCCAACCTCCAACGTGCTCCTCAAACCTGCTTTCTACCAAATTATTTTCATTCTGCTCAGTTCTTTAAGATATTATTCTCCACTACGAAAGTAGTATTCTGTCTTAAAAACACTGGCTTATTTAGGGGAGAAGGGTCTAGCTAGCTCGCCCACTGGAAATAGACAGACAAAGCCTGGGCCACATGGAAAGTAGCAGTAGTGAAATAATCAGAATCATGACAATACCAGCTATCAAGTTTCTTCACATACACATCGTCTAATGTAATCTTCCCAAGTAATAGTCTCCCTTTACAGGACAGAAACCAGCTGAGAGGACTGACGTGTCCATCAGGCCAAGGCCAGGACACTAGAAAGTCAGTTCTTGGCCGGCCGCCGTAGCTCACGCCTGTAATCCCAGCACTTTGGGAGGCCGAGGCGGGCGGATCACGAGGTCTGGAGTTCGAGACCAGCCTGACCAACATGGTGAAACCCCGTCTCTACTAAAAATACAAACATCAGACTGGCGTGGTGGTTCACGCCTGTAGTCCCAGCTACTCATGATGCTGAGGCAGGAGACTCGCTTGACCCGGGAAGCAGAGATTGCGTGAGCCAAGATTGCCCATGCCCTCAGGGCTCCTCCGGACCAGCCAAGTCATGCTCCCCTGGGGACCGGCCTCAGCATCCCCTTGACGGCCTGGAGGGACCACAGCCCCGGCCAGGGGCGCAGGGCAGAGGACACCCCTTCCGGAGGTTCTGCAGCAGAGTGCGGCCGACCTCACCCCACGCGCCAGGTGAGGCGCGCAAAGTAAGGGGAGCTTGTCTCACTCTCAGTAGGCCCGGCTGGCGGGGGACGCCTGCGGGGTGGGCGCGAACTGAGATCCAAATTTCTGCTCTTTCCACTACGTTCCATGCCCCCGCCCCCGCCCCTAACACACTCTCTCAGTCCAGCTCCCTTCTAACTCCCTGAAACATCCAGAGGAGTGGGGCGGGAGGAGAAGGGAAGGCCCTAAGACCACAGACGGTGGGAGTGGAAAGGTCTGTCGGAAGTCACTCGTGGGGCCCAACCCAAGTTTCAAAACGAGGCAGCTGCAACCCGCCCTCGCCGGTCTCGGTACCCAAGGACGCTCCTGAGCCGAGGCGGAGGCCGAAACCTGCGTCCAGCAGCAGAGGAGGGGCGTGGCCCCCTAGTCCCCTCACCCCCGCGACCCTGCG